TTACATAGTTATAAATTGTAAGAACATAATAATTGTATGAAAACCAATAAAAAATATTTGCAAATTAAAAAAATTTTATGCTTATTTTTATTTCATAATTGGTGTTAATTTTTTAATAACATTCTTTTTTAATAAAAATACACCTTCAAAAAGAATATTTTACACTATTTATTTTTAAACATAAATATAAAGTTTTATACACTTAATTCTGAATGTTAAGATAATGTATAGATCTAATACTAATATAGTCTATACCATTCTTTTTTTGTTTTGTAACAATATTTTAATTTAGCCCATATACCATGACACATGTTTTGCAAGCGAACATCATTCTGATTAATTGAAAATTTATAAATATTTCTTACTATTATTTTTGGTATTCTTAATTGGCCTTGTTGGATTAAACTTAATGCGGCATATAATTTACAACGTGCAACCAAATGGGGATCTCCAAGACGCATTGCTAATTCCAACTGCTTTACTGAAATTTTTCCTGCTATTTCAGCCTGTGTAAAAATATATATATTATATTATTTTTTAATATATTTTTAATACATTATTAAATCATTGTTATTTAGGTATATGTAAGATGATAAAATAAATAATTATTTCATTTAAGAATAAATTCAATGTATACACCCATTTTATCTATATTTAATTTAACAGATAACTTACACAGTGTTGAAATTCTTCTCCTAAAGCAGAAAATGCTCCACCTAAAGTAGATAACCAAGACATGGCATGATCCACTTCTCTTCTCTCTAATACCATTTGTGTTATCCTATCATTCCTAAAATAAAAAACTTACAGTTAACTGTATGTCACTTTTGTAACATTAACATAATGTTACATTAAAATTTTCTTTACCATTTGTAATCTAAAAATTGTTTCTTTGGTGTACATAGTTTCATTAAAATTATCCTTGAATTTATTTCACCTGGAATTCTGTGTATTAACCATGTTTGCAATTTTTTAAATGCAGCTCTATGATATGTTTGTGAATTTATTAATGCCATAACATAAGCTGACACAAGATAAGCATTATATCCTCTTTTGTTTAAAGAAATAGTATTTATTTTTATGTTACTATTTATTTCATCTTTATTTCTGTTATCTTTTATTTTTTGTTCATATCTTGTTGTGGAATAAGATGTAATAATAACACTGTCAAAAATTGTGCTTCCTTTATGTATAATCAACTTTATTGAATAATCCATTTCTTCTAATTTGAAAAAGTAAACACCTTTTTATATGCATAATAATATTGTTTCGTAACAAATAAACTCATTAAAGTATAACAATATAAATGAAAGATTAAAATTGTTTATCTCAAATATTGTTTTGCTACTTTTTTGATAAATTACATTAAAATACTTTATGTCAGTATAAATAAAGGCAACATATATTGCATAAAAGAATTAAGCCACCAGAAACATTCAAGTTTTAACATTTCTGACACATTCATAAACGTCTTTGTAACGTAACTACTTAGTATACAATTTGAGGTTAGAAAATCAATTATATATATGTCTAGTAAAGAAGTGAACACTGGTAGGGATGACAAGGATATTAATAACTTTGCAA